GAGTCAGTCAGCCATATTGAAGGAGCCAGTCAGCCATATTGTAGGAGTCAGTCAGCCATATTGTAGGAGTCAGTCAGCCATATTGAAGGAGTCAGTCAGCCATATTGAAGGAGCCAGTCAGCCATATTGAAGGAGTCAGTCAGCCATATTGAAGGAGTCAGTCAGCCATATTGAAGGAGTCAGTCAGCCATATTGAAGGAGTCAGTCAGCCATATTGAAGGAGCCAGTCAGCCATATTGAAGGAGTCAGTCAGCCATATTGAAGGATCCAGTCCACCATATTGAAAGAGTCAGTCAGTCATATTGAAGGAATCAGTCCGCCATATTGAAGGAATCAGTCCGCCATATTGAAGGAGTCAGTCCGCCATATTGAAGGAGTCAGTCCGCCATATTGAAGGAGCCAGTAAGCCATATTGAAGGAGTCAGTCCGCCATATTGAAGGAGCCAGTCAGCCATATTGAAGGAGTCAGTCTGCCATATTAAAGGAGTCAGTCAGCCTAATTGGAGTCAGTCCGCCATATTGAAAGAGTCAGTCTGCCATATTGAAGGAGTCAGTCCGCCATATTGATGGAGTCAGTCATATTGAAGGAATCAGTCCGCCATATTGAAGGAGTCAGTCAGCCATATTGAAGGAGTCAGCCATATTGGAGTCAGTCCGCCATATTGAAGGAGTGAGTCAGCCATATTGAAGGAGTCAGTCATATTGAAGGAATCAGTCCGCCATATTGAAGGAGTCAGTCAGCCATATTGAAGGAGTCAGCCATATTGGAGTCAGTCCGCCATATTGAAGTATGTAGTCAGCCATATTGAAGGAACCAGTCCACCATACTAAAGGAGTCACTCCGCCATATTGAAGGAGTCAGTCCGCCATATTAAAGGAGTCAGAGAAGAAATAAGGGTCACACCCGAAAGATGCATTATGCAAGAAAGGTGCTGCCGCAGTGACCAAAATTCATATAGAAAAAAAATAGTTACGGCGCACCCAGACTTGTAAACATTCATAACTAAGAAGGCTACTATAAAACACCTATCTAAGAGAATAAATATGGGGATTTAATTCCACCATATGATGTTACGCCCACCACTGCTTCTGCAAATGTGAGTATACTCATTCAAGCACCAACACTTTAATTGTTTAGTTGTTACACTGTTTTTAATTGCTTTTATCACTCTTTATTTGTATACTCACTTTGCTCTTACAAAGAAATTAATTTAATACACTGTAGCATGTTTTTAGCACCAGTACTATTTAATTTGTCTCCCACATTTTGTAAGTAGCGTAGGACCCTCTGACATTGGGGTACTTTGAAGCAGTGGTGGGCGTAACATCCAATGGCCATATGGTAGAACTAAATCCCCATATTTATTCTCTTAGATAGGCGTTTTATATAAGGCTTCTTAGTTATGTATTTTTATAAGTCTGAGTGCGCCGTAACTAGTTTTTTCTATATTGAAGGAGTCAGTCCGTCATATTAAAAGGAGTCAGTACGTCATATTGATGGAGTCAGTCCGCCATATTGAAGGAGTCAGTCAGCCATATTGATGGAGTCAGTCCGCCATATTGAAGGAGTCAGTCCGCCATATTGAAGGAGTCAGTCCGCCATATTGAAGGAGTCAGTCCGTCATATTAAAAGGAGTCAGTCCGTCATATTAAAAGGAGTCAGTCCGTCATATTAAAAGGAGCCAGTCCGCCATATTAAAGGAGCCAGTCCGCCATATTAAAAGGAGCCAGTCAGTCATATTAAAAGGAGCCAGTCAGTCATATTAAAGGAGCCAGTCCGCCATATTAAAGGAGCTAGTCAGCCATACTAAAGGAGCCATTTCGCTATATTAAAAGGAGTCAGTCTGCCATATTAAAAGGAGTCAGTGCGCCATATTAAAGGAGCCAGTCCGCCATATTAAAGGAGCCAGTCAGCCATATTAAAAGGAGCCAGTCAGCCATATTAAAGGAGCCAGTCCACCATATTAAAAGGAGTCAGTCCGTCATATTGATGGAGTCAGTCAGCAATATTCATGGAGCCTGTCCGCCATATTAAGAGGAGTCAGTCCGCCATATTAAGAGGAGTCAGTCCGCCATATTAAAGGAGCCAGTCTGCCATATTAAAAGGAGCCAGTCAGCCATATTAAAGGTGCCAGTCAGCCATATTAAAAGGAGTCAGTCCGCCATATTAAAGGAGTCAGTTCGCCATATTAAAAGGAGTCAGTCCATCATATTAAAGGAGCCAGTCCGCCATATTAAAAGGAGTCAGTTCGCCATATTAAACGGAGTCAGTCTGCCATATTAAAAGGAGTCAGTCCGCCATATTAAAGGAGCCAGTCCGCCATATTAAAAGGAGTCAGTTCGCCATATTAAAAGGAGTCAGTCTGCCATATTAAAAGGAGTCAGTCCGCCATATTAAAAGGAGTCAGTTCGCCATATTAAAAGGAGTCAGTCCGCCATATTAAAAGGAGTCAGTCCGTCATATTAAAGGAGCCAGTCCGCCATATTAAAAGGAGTCAGTCCGCCATATTAAAGGAGCCAGTCAGCCATCTTAAAGGAGTCAGTCCGCCATTTTAAAAGGAGCCAGTCCGCCATGGTAATGGAGCCAGAATTCTGCTGTAAAGTTATACATGTGGAGCAGTCACCATGGAAACCAGTAGAATGTATCTGCAGAGTGCCTGTCTGTTAGAACAGTGCACCCTGTGTGTAAATGAGCAGAATAAATACAGAGTTTCACTGGATTAGTCATTATTTAATAAACTCTTTACATTATTTTCATCTGAAGATGAATTTGTCTCTGATCTAATAAACCTGTGAAAGACGCTCTAATAATCCATACTGTTCGTTTTACTGCTAAT